AGACTATTTGTATACGTTAATAAAAGATTAATTAAAACTTCATTTTTTTTTATAATTGAAGGAATTGTTCATGTAACGTGTATGATTGTAGTTAAAATAGCATTAAAAATAATTACATATTGTAATAAGTTGAGTTATTATTTCTTATAAAGTACATAAGAATTTTTTAAAATAAAATTTAAATTTTAAAAATGGAAATAAAGAAAAAATTAACTTAAAAAAAAATGTTACGTACACTCAAAGTAAGCTCAATAATTAACAAGCAATTATTATCCTACCATTAATCTCCTCAATTTTTAACTTTTAGCACTTTTTAATTACACTGAAACCAATCATGCTCCAAGTACAAGCTCTAGCATTTCTCATGGTAATATTGATCTATGATATCTTCATCTCTTTTTCAAATTTTTTTCAATTAGTCTCCAATAAAACAAATTTATTATCTATTGAAAAGAGTAATCTATTTTAATAACAAATTATTATCTTAATTTATTTTAAAAACTTATTATAATTTAAAATGGAATCATTCTAAACTCAGAAACCCCCATTACTCCATCCTCCAATTCTGTAATATAAACAATGATTGTCTTATTTTTTTCAAAAAAAAAAAAAGAAAAGAAAAGGAAAGGAAAAAAGGAAGCCGAAAGGAAAGGGCAAAAGGGTCCAAAGAAAAGTGTAGTACGGGAAAGGACGGTGAGGGACAAGGGCAGTTGACGGGGGTAGAAAAGTCATTAAGAAAAAGTCACTGTCTTAGCGCGACCCAGCTCATGTGGTGTAAGAAGTATGTGAGGAAGGACAGATTCAAGTGCGGACGGTACGAGCATACTGACCCCACAAATTTAATATTATTATATTTTTATAATCTCGTGACTTTATTTATAAATTAATAATATACTAAATATATTTCTTATTATAAAATTTTTAAAAAATTAAAATATTTTAATATTAAAAATATTCAAATATTTAATAATAACTACATAATAAATTTAATAAAATTAAAATTACATTATATTTTATATATTTAATGATTATGATTAAATATTTTAATATTAAAAATATTAAAATATCTTAATTTTTTTAAAAATATATATTAAAAATAAAAAATAATTTTTAATTTATTAATAACTAAATTAAATTAAAATATTAATTTTTATATTTTTTTATATATTCATTAAAATATATATTAAAAAATCCTTTACTATTTCATTTATTATTAAATAGATTTCATTCTCATATTTATTTTATGATTTGATTCTTAATTTACCCCAAAAATAAAATATCGCCAAAAAAAAAGAAGAAGATATTCTCCCAAGATATTGCCGTACTAATTTTTGCTATGACAGTACCGACCTTACTCAGATATGAACGGAAAACAGAACCAAATACATATGGGTCCGGACCGGACAGGACACGACAGGACAGGGGAGGTAGTGCCTCGTACAGGGTTTAAGCGCACTTGAAATGACGCAACTGCCCTTGCAAGATGCTTCCGCGATGCTTTTAAATATGTTTTTTTCTGGTATTACGCGTCGGATTTTTACTTGAAAAACTTTTTAGACACGTGTTTGTTTTATTTATAAAGTTTACATTCGATATTTTACTTAAAAAAATCAACATATCATTAATAAATATGTATAAAAATTAATACTTTGAATTAAAATTTTTAAATTTAAAATTTAAGTTAAATAAAAAACATATAAAAATAAAAAATATTATTTTTTATATACCCTCACTTTTTTTATATGAGGAATCATAAAAAAAGAAAAATATTTTTAAATAATTAATGAAAATCAAAATATTAATTAAATAAATCTAAATACTAAAGTTTAAAAGTACGACCTATTGCATTCCACTTGCGTGCCGCAACGGTCATTTGTTATCTTTTGAAACAGGTCGTAATTTGTATCTTATGTTTCGAGTTTAATATTCTCCCTACACACTAATACCTCTAACTATTATCATTTTATAAAATAAAAAAAAAAAGAAAAAGGACGACCCATTAACTCAAAAGGCCGATTCTATATATTCTCAACGCTGAGATGTAAAAAGGGAAAAAAATTCCTTAAGGTAGGTGATTAGGTATTGGATTGTCGTTTGTGGAGGGTAGTTTGGAGATTTGGGTTTTCTTTACGTGTTGTTTCCGTGTGGGGTTTGTTTTTTTTTTTTTTTTTGAGGAATGGGAGGAGAATGGCATCTTAACCGAAACAATGGATTCATTCGTTCTTGTTTATTTCATTTCATTGTTGTGGGGCAGTGAGGTGGGGGTGTTTTTATCGCGTCTTATTCTTCATTCTTCTTCTGTTTCTGCCTTTTCTGCCTCTTCTTTCTTGGGGAGGTGCTAACTAATTTGTCTCTGCTTTATCTAAATTTTTGAAATTCGCTTTCCACGTGATTGTTACTTGTTAGCTATAGCCTAAAATCTTCTTGGTCAAGGAGCGAAATGAGGCAGAGATTTTGTTGAAATTATGGATGGAATAAAAGCTTTTGCCTTGTTTGTTAAGTTTAGAATTTAAATTTTAATATTAATAATTAAATTAAATAAATATATGTATTTTGAAAAAGTAATTTTAAAAAAATAATTTTAATATATTTTTTTTATTTTAATTACATAATAAAAAATAATTATCTTTTATCTATTATCTCACTTTACTTATATATCATATAATTCAAATTTAAAAGTTGTTATTTTTAACAAAATAAAATAATTACTAAATTATTTAAATAATTAATATATTTATATATGTATACATATTAAAGTTTAGTTAAGAATACTCTAATGATAACATATAAAAAATAAAATAAATATTTATCCCACGTTTTTAAAGTTATATCAGCAATGAATTTATTAAAAAAAATAATAATAAATAAAGATAAGCAGGGGACTTAATGATGAGTTCCCATTCTATCCATCTATTGCGTGCCTTGGGAGCTTTCAAGTTTCAATGAGAAAGATCTTTTATACGAACTTTGTACCACATCTGCGGTAAAATACAATGTACAACAGATGCTGACCAAGAAGGACATAAAGCAAGACTCTGAAGGCACAGTTTATTCAAGCATGTAACTTTCAAAAAATAAGTTCTTGGAAACTTGTTAATGAAGTGAAAAAATATTTTATAATTTAGATTATTTTAAATTAAAAAATATTAATTTTTAGATTAAAAAATTTATTAATATTAAAAGTTTTTTTCTATCTAAAAATTTTATTTTATAGTTCAAAATAATTAAATTATAAAATAATAGACTTTTAATAAAAAGCATAAGGAAATTAATAAAAAGGTTTTATAAAATTTTTAAGATCATTTTATTTTAAATATTTTGATATGAAGCAGATTTGAAATCTATTTAGAGAAAAAAAAAACGCACATGTTCAATAACTAATGTGATTGATTCTCTAAAGCCAACAACCAAGTGCTTTTTAGACCATTTCTTCAACCTATAGAAAAGATAATTTTATATATCCTCAAATCAATTATAACGTTATTGGACGTTGGATGGTAATTTTCCAATTTGAAAACTATGAATTAGAAAAGTATAAGCCTTCTAAACAGTCCAACAGCGGTAGGAATACAACGTTTCAAAAGATTCAACAGTTTGGGGAGAATTGAATCACAGTCATAATTATCAATGGTACGGATGCGACTAATCTACACTATATATTTATATAAACAAAAGGGGATGAAAACTGGGAAGATTGAAAAAGAAGGCCTGGCTGCGTACGGCACAACAATGTTTACTTTCTGTTCAAGCCTTTTCTCATTTTCTTATTTTGTCAAACCTTTCCGTTTATTCAAAGATACCCATTTTATTCTTCCAGCTTTTCGTTTAGATCCCTCAAATTAATTTACTTTTCATTCAAATACAATTTCAATTTTATTCAACGCGTGCTCGCTCTTTTTTGTTACTTTAGTTGATATAGATCTTTCACTCAGCTTTGCAAAAAGCAATTATTCATTGCACCTACATTCTTGGCTTAATTGGTACGGTACAAAAATTTTGTCTTAGTAAAATAGATTCAAATGTATTTTTTCTACACAGGACAAATGAATTGAATTCAGGTTAAACTGGTTATAGTTAGTTAGTCTGGAAAAAAATGTTTATTGGCATGCGCGGAATGTGCACGGTAATGCTAGGGCACGTGGTGTGTTTGTTGTGCTCGAAATTAGTTAGGGATGGTATTGGTTTGACTAACCAAGTTGGAGAAATCCTAAGCCAATCGTAGGTGGGGTTGGCCCGGGCCGGTTTAACCTGTTTGCCACCTCTAGGCAGTATCTTAGAAAAAAAAAATGCATATATTATTTACAGGTTGAGTACAATACTTGTGTACTAGAAAGCTACTGCAGTGTGTAGAATATTTGCAAATGCCCAAATCCATATCTGGGGTGCATGATAATGGTAATGCTTCATTTTTTACCTTATAAAAGATGGAGAATATATTTATGGGTTGATGTCTGTTGGATCACCAGATCGCAGAAACAAAGGGAATATATATATATATATATATATATGCATTGTGCAACTAAGAAAGATTTTAATGAGGGGGATTAAGTTAGTGGAACCAAATCAATTAGGTAGAGGTGTTTATGAGGGTAAGGTTTTTCCTCCAAACAAAGTTTTGAATTTGATTAAATTAAACAAATCCCATGAGTGCACTTGGTGAGGGTACGGACGACTATGGAGGCAGTTAAGACCGACACCACCAATGACATTTTATGTCACTTTATTTATTTGCATTTTGCTATTGTTCCCATCCAAGGAAGGTTCCTGATGACACTGTCCCAGGTCAGATCTGGGTTTAAAGATGATTAATTTATACCCATATTGAGAATATGTTAGTTGGTCATCCATTCAATATTGTTTTCTAAAGTATTTATGTTGATTAGATTTGCTGCCTATGAAGAGGAATCAGAATAATGTTAGATTTTGGTAGAAAAAGGTGTCCTGTGTGATCTATCATGTACCTGAAGTCATTGCCTTCTACGGTTATTGATATTTAAAACGATTTTTATTTTATTTTATTTTTAAAAAAATTACTGTCGTTAGCTAAGTATATAAATGTTTCTAATGATATATCTGAGTTGCACAGTGTGTAAATGAGGCGGGGAAAGAGAATATCGAGGAAAGAGCTGATTTCATGTCTAAATTCTCAAAACATTCTTAGATACATAACTTGCTACAACCAAAACTAAAAATTAAAAATCTCCAATAATCTAAGTAATTCAATGATTATCTCATTTTATTGGAAATAAGAGATTTTTTAAGTCGTATAACATACAAATAAAGTGAGATAAAGGATAAAAGATGATTGTCTTTTATTATGCAATTAAGATAAAAAATAAAAATAAAAACCACAATTATACTATAGGGAGAACATTAATCGAGTACAAAATGAAAAAAATAAAAAATTAAGAAGCCTTCAAGGCCTGCGGTTATATAATCAACAAAGCATCAAGAGTTCAAGCATTATGAGAACCCATTTTTTTCATACAGACTCCCTTTGTTTTCAACCAATGAAAAGATCACCAATTAATCTTACCATACAACAATGATATAAAAATAAGATCATAAAGCCGCATTACACTGTCAGTAACAGTTAGAAGTATTTACTGAAAGAAAAAATGAACTTAGAATTCAAGGACACAGACGTACGAGTCCATAGAACAGATCATGTTCGAGTAAGGTCGTAAAGGAAAAAAGAACTTAATCAATCAAAAGCTAAAAAAAGAAAGAAATAAAAAATAAAAAAGATTGTTACAGGAACATCCAGTATGACAACATGGGCAGCGCACCTCGCAGACACTACAAAGAAAAAGTACAGGGATTAATTCATCAAGAAGTATTTACTTGATCAAAGAACATCAGTAATGCATGCCAACATGAAATAAGAAGGGCAAATAAATATTCAAATATGTCAATGTCAACTACATTAAATCATTCCTACAACATGGGATATTGTAAGAAGGTCCTATCCTAACTATGAAAAAACTCTCCTCACTTTTGTTCTGGGCTTACTTCTTTTCTTCAGATAGTAGCAGGTAAATCTTTTTTCTCACCTCAAACAATGTTAATGAATCTCAGCAATTTGTCGTCAATTATTATACCATTCCTTAGAGGTTCAAATCTAAGAATCAATACCAAAGTATGGAACTTAATGGAGAGGGCACATCTTGCTGCATGGTAAGGATAATATCCTTTTAGGTCAACATGACAATGTTTAATAAGAAAACATATTGATTTCTACCTTGTCCAATGCCATTATGTCATATCACTAAAGTCTGGATGCAGATGAAAACCTAACTTGACAATAGAAACTATTAATACCTTGTATGAAAGAGATTTTACAAGATCTATTGTTTGAAGGTGAACTTTTAACCTGTGAGTCTGTCAGGGAGCAAGAACACAGTCTAACTCTTTCAGAGTATTAGGGCTTAAGGGATAAACAAAACCAGCCTTTCTTTTGGCATACATGTGAGACCAAGGGGGAAGTAACTGACACAGGGATTGAGTCTCAGGCTATCCCTTCCAAAGGATGAAAACAACCAATGAATCAAACCTAGTTTATTCAATATCTTTTCACTTTAAGTGAATAAATTCTTGTTCTTGGTATAAAGTTTGTAATACCAACCAATGAATCAAACCCAATTTATTCAATGTCTTTTCACTTTAAGTGAATAAATTCCTGGTATAGAGTGTCATACATAGTAACTAAGAAAAATAAACAAAGGAGGCATCAGACCACCAAAGAACCAAATTCAAAATTAAGGACCAACTAAAGTATATTAACCAATAGTGAACTCCAAAAATCTCAGGTTCCTTAACATTAGATCGAGCACAACATGGTGTAAGTATAGCACTGTTGCAGACAAATTTTTAAATAACTAAGGCCAAGCAATGAGAATAGTAACTCACATTTTGATTGTACCACATGAATGCTAATTAAGCCACTTTAAGAATCACCATTCAATTCATCTGAATCTGAATCACTTGCATTGTAACCTGATAAAGGTCAACCCAAAGTTAACATTGATAACAGAAGAAAATAAAACCATAAAGAAGAGAGACTGAGGTGAAAGTAACAGAGATGATCAACCTGGACGCTTATAGCTAACTTTCCAAACTGAAGATCGCATCCTTGATGCTCTAGTCATCCAAAACTTTCCCTACAGTCCCAATAGACCAAACAAAGTACTCAGATAAAATTATTAGCAAATCTAAAGCCTCAATTGGTCTCCTTAATTCATCTAAAAGCTACAAAAAGACGACAAATTCAGAACCACGCTCTCCACTCTACATGGCAATTTTAGTCCTTTTAGCACGCTTTACTTTCTTCACTTTGTTAAGTTACCTAACGCAGATTTTCAATACTTTGATCTCTTATCTATGTCCTCTGCAACAAGATATAGCAAAATCTAACATATAAAAAAACCCTAATCACCAAGAGCAAGAACCCACAAAGATACAAACACTACATCAGCAAAGAAGCTCGAAAAACAGAAAAAGAAACCCAACAAAAACAAACCTTTTGCTCATCTCTGGGAACCCCATAACCGTTATGATACATCTGAGCCACCAAGACCTGCATGTTGATATCCCCAGCCTTGGCTTCCTTAAGCGCATCCTTGAACCAGCGCTTCACACAATCGGATACAACATCGGATAGCGGCACCCGATGATTGGTAACATCCATATCGCTGCTGCTCTCCATCTTCTTCTTCAACTTGTCACCGCTTGTTGGCCAATTCTCGGAGTTGGGTTTTGGGCTTTTCCCAGTGTTGTTGAGGTGGTGTGCTGTGGCCTTTGCAAGATTGTGGAGCTTGTTTATACTGGGCGGCGATTTTCCCATACAAAAAAAATAAAGGAAAGAATTGAATGTACAAAGAAAAGACTAAAAGAAGGAAAATTTATTTGTTTTGCTATATGGGTTTGCTTACCTTTGCCTGTTTTTTTAAGTAATTGATGAATATGTTTAGTTTTCTGAGAGAATTTTGAAGGGTTTAGGATTGAATTTCCGACCAACAAAAGTCTTTACGGAAAACAAGGAAAGTGGCTGATGGAAGAAACGACGTCGCTTCATAGCTCCCACACAAATTTCACAACATCGGCCAAGCATGTTCAGCTTGTTGGTGGTATGTTCTTTTAATATCATGTCTCAAGATTCCAATATACCTTTTCATTTACATTAAATGACTGATTATATAATAAATAATAATATTTTACTTTGTAATCAAAACTTTTATCATAAAAATCTAAACACTTAACCACTAAAAGTTTGAGACATCCCTAAAGGACCCAAGATTCCAATCTAAATTGACACTATTTGAGGCTA